TGGACAGGCTCAGCACTGACGTTAATCTCCTCTTCAATCTCCATGCTGAAACTCTGAGAGCCAGCGACCTCCATGGACTCTGCCTTTGTCTCCACCTTCGCAGCTGAGACATCACCAGACAGCACAGTGGACTTTTCAGCATGTTGTCCAAGTTGATCCTGCCCACCAGTCTCAGAGTTGCCATCCAACTCTGAATCCGCTGGAGGTGCCATTTGTTTAGACTCATGTACATCAGCAGCACGAGATTCAGTTGGAGCTTGAGGATCATCCAGTCGTACATCAGGACCACAATCAGAAGGAGCTTCACCAACAGGAGCTTGTGAATACAGAGGCTCCACAGGTTGAGGATCAGGTTCTTGAGTGAGATCACCAAAAGGTCGATCACCGATCGCAGGTACATCGACAGACTCAGAGGCAGGTGCTTTTATCAAGCCTTAGAAATAAATTGAGCAGCAAACAAAAAAACAAAGCACACATGCATGCACACGCAAACATACATGTGAGATCCTTGTGGTTGTCAAAAACACCCCAGAGACCCAAACATACAAGGCGTATATAATGAATACAAAACACTTGCGTCATCAAAGTAGTTGGCCAATGACTTGCGTAAACCTTTGCCCGACTGTTCATCTTCAGGAGGAACAGCTGCTTCCAATGAAGTCTGCAGAAGTTCAACGCATGGTGAAGCATGATACTCCTGAGTATCTTCCTGGTCTGTAGCAGCAGCAGCTTGCTTGACAGCCCGGGCAGCAAGAATTTTCCTAACTTGCCAGGAATTGACACAGGTGAAAACACAAGGCTCCTTACATAAAAAAAACACAGCAACAATGTACATAAATCATAACCATAGTTGCTTCAAATTTCCAATCCTTCGTTCAATCTCCTGTTTGGTCATCGAGTTGGCTGCAAATCCCTTGCTGGAGCAATCAGCTGTTTCATTCTTTGGCTCGGCCTTGATGTAAACAGCTGGGTGCTGGTGCTCCACAAAGCCTTGAGAAGATGACTTCTCTTGAGACGACAACTCATCAGCAGAAGAGTAATTCATCTCCGTTGGCACATCACTTGGTGACTCCTTTTTGATGGGACTCTCAATCTCTTTGGGCTCCTCCTCCTGGACCTTGACAGGGGCCTCGACCTCTACAGCAGCAGTCTCACAGGGCTCTGTCTTGTGTTTGCCAGGTGGTGATGTGAAAATTGGAGAGTCCATCATGTAAGGATCGTGTTTAAGTTGAAGAACTTCCACCAGATCATCCTCAGCATCAGAGTCCATGATCTCCACGAATTCTGAAGGCTGCGTCTCATCCAATGTAGGCGGAGGGCCCCCAGGCATCTGCAAGCGAACATGCCAGAACTCGAAGAGCATTTCATAGAAAGGATTCACTCCAATCTCCTAGTTTGAAGCACGGCCAAAAGCAAAAAGAAAGGATACACACAACACATCCACACGCACACAGGCACATATTGATTGTACATGAGACACATGAAACATAGAATGGACCCAGTTAGGAATATAAAGGCTGTTGCATATCCACCCCCAAAGCAAACATGTATTATACAAGGAACATGTTGTTTTGTTATGCAAGGCTGAGGCTCTCTTCTCACCGGGCTCCCACTGGACACTTTGTCACATCCTGACTTCCTGCACCCGTATGTGAACAGTTTCTTGAGTGCCCAGGCATCCATATGCACTTGCCCACCATCCTTTGGCAACGCAACCAAGCACCGAAGGTTGTAAACCTTTCAGGGCAGAAAGCAAATTGAAATATAGTCAGTCCCTTCAAGCTAGTATGTTCGCTCCCTTCAATTGATATTTGAGAGGTGCATGAATGATCATGCATAAGAAACAGAGTAAATATAGAGTCATAGTGCTTTGAGAACGGGCAGGCCTCCTTCTTGAGCATTCGCACAGACGGGGACTTAGGAGAGGTCTGCTGTGGGCACCAGTACTCAGCAAGTATACGAAGTGCATGGCAGTTCATGGCAATGCCAGTCATTGTGGGATGGCCAATGAGCTCTTTGGACGGCCAAATGCACAGGACTCCTGCATTGTCATTGTCCCGTAGCCGCTCCCTAATGTGCACACAATCTTCCCACATAGCAGCCAAAGTCTTTGGCTTTGCTGCTGCATTCTCCACCACTGCAACTGAACCGCACGACATGACAGCAAGAGGTTTGCAAGTTCAGTGCTGCAAAGCAAATAAGAATATGGTTTGCTTCTGAGATGCTTTTGCATGTGTGAGTCTAAAGGCATATCAAGAAAAAATTGCCAGAGCAGGATAGAGCTGCACTGAGCCAGGCAGTACAAAGGATTCACAAAAACAAGAACATCTTTAAAAACAAACAAACCAACAAACTGGCCAGCAGTGCTGAAACTGCAGGTCCATCTCGTTCAGAGGTCGATTTGTGCGGCCTGAACCTGCAGGAGCAGTGTCAAAAGGGAATTGAATGATCCCATAATGGAATATATACCATATACAAATGAATATACAAACTATAAGTGCATGCAATGCATGATCTTTTTTGGACTCCCAACCTCTGCACCGTAGAAGTCAGTCTCGCCCACCATTGCAGGGCAACAGAGGTCATGTACAACCCACAAAACATATGCATGCTTATACTTTGACATTGGCAACCACAGCCAGTTGACATTGTTGCGAGATGCACAAATGGACTCTTAGAAAATGACATAAGATCAGTGGCTGGCTTTACACGCCAACTCTTGTCATGCCAATTCTTGCCAGCTTCACGGTCCTGATTGGTCCAGAAAAAGCTCTTGCAAACATCACCCTGCACCAGAAAAACGCCTGCAAAGAGCACCTTAAAAGTATAAAATGATCATTGCCAACACATCTAGGATCCTGTTGGCCACCTTCGTGCTCCATGATTCAATCTACAAATTGTTCTTCAAAACCATTCACCTCATGACCATTCCTTTGGAATACTGTGTCATTCTGTCAGAAAAACAAGTTCAGCCCCTTGCAAGAAATCCAGACCCTGGAAAGGCAGAGGCGGTTTTTGCCAAAAGTACTGAAATAATGCATACCTCAGAAGACCTAGGTATATATATGTGATCCATAGTTGATCCACACTCTGGTCGATCAAAAATAGCATGTTAACGGTATATCTTCATTATATCTCGAAAACAATGCTTGGAGGACGTTGTGGCATGTTGTGAAAAAAAACACTCTGACTCACTGAGATGGAAGTGGATGTCAAGGGCCTGGAAGGAAAATCCCTTTCTTCTAGTTTCCAGGGGCTACTTTCCACCTTCATGTCAGTGAGTCAGAGTATACTATACCACCCGGTATAAAATCAACACGGAACCTCAACATAGACCATTGGAAGACCATGAAAACCTCAACGCCATGCTCTTCAGGAGAAACCGGTTTCCCATGTGGGTCATGGGAGTCCTACTTCCCCTGCTCCGGTGGCGCACCAAGTGGCCATGACGGTGCTCTTGCCGCCGCCGGAGGGTCCCACGAGCCCTGCGGACTGGCCGGCGGCCAGGACGAAGGAGACCCCGTTGAGCACCTGGCCCGAACGCCGCACGAGGTCTGTGTGGGGAGGACAGGTGCTGGGGAGGCGTGACAGGTTCGAGAGCCAGCGCCGTGTCGTTTTTGGGAGAGGATGTTGATGGTTTTGGGATGCGGTTGGAAGTGTGAAGTGAACAGTTGTGAAGTGTGCGAGTGAATTGGCGTGAGTAAAGCTACTGAGGATAGAGAAAGCTGCTGAAAGTCTTTGGCCGGTTCTCACAGTCTATGGCCCATGGTGGGCGTCCACTCTCGAGGGAGCCTGGTTCCTCCCACCATACTACTGACATACATGCACAAAAACAGCCATGGAGGGCAGACAATGTAGCCTATCCGCCTGATCACAACATGCTCCGTCGAAGTAATGTAGGCTCTTGATTAACAACCTCCCCCAATTGAATTGAAAACATACTTCATATATGGGTGGCTATTTTTCGAGAGTCTACATTACGTCGAGTAGAGGCCATCACCGCAGCGTATTTAAAACATGACACTCAACGCAGCAATGAAGTGACCACGAAAGCTCTTGGCCAAACCGGTGACTTGGGAATCATTCCCGCCGACACATCCCGTGAAGATCCAATTCTCACACCAAAAACTCGTGGAAAAACAGCTGTCGCACTAGCTGTCGCATCATCCACGCCATCATGGAGCACTACGGGCCGCCGTACGCCGCACTCCACGGGCGGAAGTCCTTTTTCTGGCTCCAAAGCACTCCGGTTGCACTTCGATCTTCGGCGTTTTGTTCAATCCCTCTGCTTCAGATCTTCTAGGCATCCTCGGCCTTCGTCTCCTTGGATCTGGTGATTGGTGACTTCAAATGAACAGAGTGGACTCCTAACGCTGTGGGGCTGGTTTTGACCATCTCCCTCGCCTAGCCGCCCGGGATCCTTGGTGAACAGCCATAGAGTCACCACAGTCTTAAGCCTTTTTGACTGTTCCAAGTCTCGGTCTTGGCCTTCTTTTGCACGTTTCCATAGAACTTGGCCTTCTCTTCGCCGGTCTGGAAGCGGCCGTGCCCGAACTTGGAGGAGGTGTCGATGAATTTCAAGGTCACCTGTCCCGCGAGCGATGGAGGAGGTGACCCAAAGAACGATGGTAGGTCCGGCGTCTCCATATGTCTGATCCTAAGAGCGGCAAATTCAGGAGGTGCACCATGAGTCACAGGCCGGGGTGGTTTGCCTCGTCCCATTCAGGAGCAGTGGATGTGACGACGGGGCACCCCTATGTTCCAAGCTCGGCACCCCTTTATGGCTCCTTGTGTCTAATTTTGCGATATTTTGCGTCCTATAGTGACTATAGTGGGCATGTCACGCCCAACATCAGTCCGATGCAGCCAGTCCTCAATTCTTCACCAGTTCGAATGCCCTGGAGTGAATGAGGCCGCTTGCTAAGGACACCGTCGTCGATGACAACACCAAACACTGCACAAAGTTTGCTTCATCTTGCTTTCCCAAACTTTCTCAAAAGCTATATAAGAAATCATACCAGCAGTCACAAGACGGGGTGCCAAGCGAACGGAGGAAGTCGGGGTGCCCCTGTCACATCCACTCACTGGATGGAACTAAAAACCACTCCGACTTGTGACTCCTGGTAAGGTCTTCTTGCTGGTCCTCATGTCATTTTAGGTGTGGCCGGCTCCGGCCCAGCTGTCGCCTTCTCCAAGGCCCTGCGGGAGACCTGCGGCAGCAAGGACTTGCGCAAGGTGATGAGGCGCTTGCGCGGTCCCATCACGGTGCCTTTGAGCATCACCCAGTCCTCGTTCACCTCACCTGAGTATGTGTTCAGGCCAGGCTTGAGAGGAGGTGAAGCGTGGGTGGGAAAAAAGCCTCATAAACAGCCCCAAACATGCAATTCCTTCGTAGATTCCCATACGCTTCATGTCTTCTTTTTTTGTGCCAGGAGTGTGATGTGCCTTTCTTTGTTCTTTTCTTTGGGACTCCTTCAGGTTCCAGGATGAGATTTCCTCCCACCCTTCCCTTTGGATACTTCATGATACTTCCATTAAAGGGGTGTGGTGTGTATTAAAAAAGGGAGACCCCCCAGGCAACGACCCCCTTTGTCAGATTCGGGAAATAGACTAAGACTAAGACTATAGTCTATACCCAAAGACCTGTAGGACCTATTCAATTGCGCACCCATGTGCCTTGGGCATATCCTATTGCCAGTAACAGTGGATGATGATGGTTAGGTTGCAGGCCGATCCATCTCTAACACGGTGAGGTTCTTGTGCGACGGCTCTATGACTGGGGCGCCACGTGACCGTAGTGCGAGAAGCCACCCATGGGGGTGATGGCCTTCTCTGTCAAGTCGTTCTCCGTCTTGGCATTCACAGGGTCGTCCTTGAGGGCTTGACCCACGCGGTAGATCTTCTTGTTGATCTCCTTGGTTCACAGTTGGAGTGGTTCACACCCGGAACCAGCTCTAGCGGCATAAGAAAGCCAATTGCACCACCATTTCACCAGATTCCTCGGGAAGGATCCGGTGAAAAACAGAACCACGAACACACCAGCTAGGTGTAGAAGCACCATTCCCAAATGGCTCCAAATGGCTGGCAGCACACCGAGCCAATGGCTGTCTCGAAGGCTTGACGTTTGGCCACGAGGCTTTTCGGATCGAGAGGTTGAAGGATGACTTATATCCATCACTAAAAAACATCCATGTCGGTACCGGAATTCGGTCCGTCAGGTCACCTCAACCACTGTCTATATCGCAAAGCCACCCATGTCCGGCTCGGCGCGTGCCGTCCGGTGCGTTCCGTTCCGAGGCGCGGTGCGGTGGTGATAGCCACGCTGACCGGAGCGAGGTACTTGGAACGAGACGCGCGCCGGGTGCCACGAGCCGATGCAGGCCACCTGCGGGTCTTGCCGCGGCCCGAGGTTGGGACGGGATGAAGCGGCGCGACGTCCGGACCGCTGGAACGATGGAAAACACAGTTGAGAATGGATTGGCCAGACCGAAAGCAGTTCAGAAGGGTAAGGGATGGAACTTTTTTTGATTCCAGACCTCCCTGGGTGGTGCGGTGAGTTGACACATCTTGACATCCCGAAATATGTAGGCTTGGAGGGCGCGCGCTTCGTACATTCTGAGAAGGCACGGCGAACGATCCCTATGTGGGTGGCGCTCCCAGTCGCGTCGAACGTCGCAGGCCTTTCGAAGTCCACGATGAGTCTTCCTGGTCAAACGGGTCACGCCCCACCTCGTCACCTGAGTGGGGTGCAGGCACGGCTCAAACGTCATTCACCAGAATGGGAGGGAAAATGGGACAGAAAGAATGCTAAAAACAACAACAATGCCGACAGTTGAAAAGATCCTTCTAAGGAGTGACTTGCAATCTCCCATGTGGCTGCCCAAGGGAGCTTTCCCTATCCCTTTGAATTAAAGAGCCTTTACATCCTCTTCAGAGAAAACCACACCGGTTCATACTGGTTCAAAGGAGTGATGTAACAACAAGAGACTCACCCCTTTTGAACACCTTTTGACATGACCTTTTCCAGCAATCACGAGGCCATTGAAGTAAGCCACCACGCCATTGAAGCCCTTGCCCTTGGTTGCACCGATCACATCAATCATCTCATCCTGGCTGAAGCAATCTGCAATCTTCACCTCCTGTTCGAACAGGCCCATGACAAAATCCACCTTGGCTTCTGTCGTTCCACCATTCACCTCACAGCGATGTCGAGTCTTGACGCGAACAATGAGAAACACGACCTGCAAAAAGAAGTCAAGGAAACAGAACATATCCCACCAAAACCCCATTGATTGATTGGGGTGTCCCTATTGAAATGCACACCGCAAACCCATATAAAGACTAGCACGGGTCTTCCTCAGCTCGCCACGTGCCCCAATCCTCTGCCCAAACAGTTCGTCTTTCGACTAGAACCAATGGCGGTGCCTGAATCTCCTTGATGTGCGCTTTCTTCTGCCCAATCTTCACTTTGCCCACCTGGGTGTGGCAAATCGCCCGAATCACTTGGCAGTACTTCTTGGCTCGCTCCACTTCCGCCGTCATGGGGCTACCATCCTTGCTGGATTCACTCCAACGCTTCTGGTACTTGGTGAAGGCTTTCTGCTTGGAGCTGTGCCAGGACCTTGACCAAGAACCCTAGGAACCCCCCTATATGAAAAAGGGTATTAGTTATGTCTTTCCTTGGGCCCCCCTATTTTAAACTGGGCATTAGTATGTATCAGTATATGCTATGTCCCTAATCATCATGTAGTACTCATGTGTATGATCATGTCCCATGTTCTGGAACCCTTTAGCCTTTGGTACCAAGGCCTGTTTTTCGAGGGTCATGTAGTGCTCGTCTCTTGTTATAATTATAGGTAGTATACTTTGGACAGGTTTTTTGCAAACATTCAACTGCTCAGCGTGACCCGTGCTTCATGTGTCTAAATCATCCTATAGACATCCCAAACCGCCGTGTTCCAAAACGAAACTCCAAGAAGAAAACCACACAGTATGAAGGCCCAAGACACTTGTAGAACCGACGCTTGCACTCCTCGGACAAATGTCCGGCCCACACCGAGGTCAACGCGCGGAGCCCCCGGGGCGTCTCCACGTAGCCGACGAAGCCCACGACGATCATCGGAGGACTCTCGAGGATGGTCACCGGCTCCACGATCTCCTTCTTGTTCAACTTGGACCCAGGCCGGTCCACTTCCTTGGGGTCGGAGAGATGATGAGATGATGAGACCGGCTCCACCATGGTCGGATGTCTGGTTTTTTTCATGATGAGATGATGAGATGATGAGACCGGCTCCAGCATGGTTGGATGACTGTTTGTTTTTTTCGTTTCATTTTAAGGCAGTGGAAAAGCAAAAATAGGAAAGGCCGGAAGGTCACAGAATTCCCGAGAATATCGGATTGACTGAGCAATGAAGGCCAGTCCATGACAAAATCCACAAGATCTCCCCTATCTTCAGGGACAATTAACATCACTATATATATATAGATCATGCTACATCATTCACATAGGTCATCATGCTTACCGCACCTATATTACACTGACCCAATGGCGGCCTTTTCCCGTGTAAACGGGTTCCCCAGCACCCACCGGCTGCATCCCCTGCGTCCCTCCTTCGGACCCCAAGATTCAACAGTGCAAACATTGTCCAAATGTCATCCGATTGGTATGTCATGGGGGGCCGAACTGCTCCAGGATTGGAGCGAATCGGAGCAGCGCTCGATCCTTGTGGTTCTCGCCTTGTCTACGTGCCTCGTTTGTCTACGTGCCTCGCCAGGCGTCCCGGACGATGTGCGTCATACCTGCCTTGTAGCTCATGAAGGCCGTCAAATGAGGGCTCTTCGACCTGAGCCGCTCAGCCGCAGCTGTCGAGACGGAAGAGGTTCGGCTGGGGCCGTGGGACGGGGAGCTTGTTCTGAAGCGTTGGAAACGGAGTCCAAAAGGTTCGGATGATGAACATTGATGAACCATGGAAGGGGTTTATGAAGGAGTGCAGGTGTATCACTTATATCTTCACATGAGGCAACATTCAATTCTAGCCTAAGTTTGGAGTCAAGGCTTATCAGTCGTTGATATTTACTCAAGGTTCCAAAACTATGTTCTCTCAACAGTGCAGGCTAAGTTCAGAACTGATCATCCTTCGGGAAGCTCTTGATCTTGCCATGGTGATGCTTGGTCCTCTTTCCTTAGTATACGTGGGCGGGGCTTCAGGGGCCTCACAAATGACCAACAGTAGAACCCATGATTAATAAAAAACATAAAAGGGCACTCAAATAACATTTCCAGGAACAACATGTGGACGCTTTTTGGGTGGGTCCATTAAAAGTTGCTTGTTTTTCTTCAACTTGTGAGTGCTGTGGGCTCTTCCACTCAGTGTGGGCACAAGGGCACCAACAGCCGAGCTGGTGATGAAGGCTGTGATCGAGCTGGTCGAGCGGCGGCTGGTCCAACAGCCGCAAAAATGCCGACCGCGACCGTCCCTACACTCACTATAGAACAGCGTGAATGTGCTCTGCAAATGTGGTATACGAACTCCCCTTCAGGTCAGGCAGCCATGGGCTGAATGAATCACAGGCTGAATGTTTGTTCACAGGCCGCACTCCGACACCCTGGACCAAAAAAGCAGGTCATTTCAGTGGTATTGCGGAACACGGTACTCCCCCCCAAAAAAGAACGCATCCTCTCCAGGTTACTATACAGTCCTAATTCGGGCAGAAATCGGCAGAATCACCTGGTCACCTGCCTGCCTTTCGGCTGGTCTGCCAAGCTTCGAGGGAGGAACCCCAAGGAGCCGTGGCGTGGGCGTTCGAACTTGCGATGCGACATGGCGAGTGTTTCGACCCAACGTCTGCTACGGGTGCTTTTGGAATCCGATCTCCTTGGAGCCACAGCAAACAAAGAGCAGTGCAGGACGTGGATGACTGACTTTCCCAGTCCAAAACTAAATGGATGTTTGGGGGATTTTGGGACATCAATGTCTTGGAAGGGGAACTAGTAGTAGTGGATTGAGAGTGCACAATCCCCAAAGGGTGGTATATATGGACCCTCAATAAGCTTTCCGGCTTGTACCATCTACATCCATCTACATCTGAACCACCGCAACTGCTTCGGTCTATCTCATTGCCAGTAACAGGAAGTAGGACAAACCCAAGAACTTGCATCTATAGCTTGAAGACCACACCCGACCGTGCCGTGCCCTTTGTCTAGATTGATACGAGGGGCCAGGACTGCCGTTTTGGGCCAAGTTACCCTGCCGGGACTGGCAACCATAATAATTCATGTAGGGTGGTCTCTCTCTCTCTCTCTCTGTATAAAATGTTACATGAAGAGTTGCAACACGACCGTCTTTTGTTTTTCTTCATCAGCTTAGCTGTAAGCGATGAACAAGACCCTGCACCACTTTAATACCGCTAAGACCTATAGCAATTCAATCCTTTCTTTCTCACTCTGATTTTTTATAGCTAAGGATTGCTTCTCCGTCGCCAGACCCGTTTTGACCCGACCCGTCACCCGTCATCCGAATCCGCCTGCACGTCCGGCCGGAAGGGGTATGTGAAGTTCACCTCCTGGAACCTCGGCGCGACCGTCCGGGTCGTCCGGAAACCCGCTCGGAGGTTCCGCATGTCCAAGCAGGTCGATGGTCCAGCCCACGCATGCAGGTCGATGTTGACATGGCGGTTTATAACCCAAAGCCTTCCAACTGCACGTGTTTTGTTGCTTTGCTGCTTTGCTGCTTGCTGTCGGTCTGTGGGTCTGTCATTGAACAGCAAACCAACGGCACCTGACCAGGTTCCCTCGCCCCACATGTCAGGTCGAAGGTCTGCCAGGAGGCTCGATACGTCCGATGAGGGGCCCTGCATCGCTGTCGCCCACCGGTTCCAGGCCGTTGATGAGGCTCTGTTTGTCGATGAGCTTGAAGATTTCCTGGAGAAAAGCTCGGCAAAAGCGCGGCACGTGGCTGAAGTAGGCCAACTGCTCACACAATCTGAAGGGTATTGGTAGTGAGGATGAGGATGATGAATGATGAAACGTATAGATTGATGGATCCGTCTGCTGAAGCGGAACCAAGAGTATCAAAGTAAACCGGAAAATACCTCACGATCTGAAGAGCCTGAAGAAGTGCAACGAAATGACAGCATCTAACACATGGAGCAGTTGTCATGCAAACAATGAAACAAGCTCATGAAAACCCGAAAAACAGAGACTGGATGCAGCGGATGCGGTAGGCGCATGGCAAATCAGTGAAGTCCAAAGCCAGCAGAACTTCATGTGAAACTTCAGCTACGGCCTACCACCTGGTAAAACATGCCACCGTAATTGTAGTATATTAGTAAACCGCTCAGCTCGAATTCAGCCCAGGGACATGTGCTGCCACTTTTGCCTTGGCCTCAGCTTGCCATTGTGCCCAAAACCTCCCTCCGCACTCACCATCTGCACGATCTGTGCCGGCAAAGGCTTCACGACCAATGGATGGACATGATCAACGACGAACTACAGCAAGGTATCCCTTGAGGTGCTCAATCAATTCGAGAATGGTGAGAACACTGAAATGGTGATATGATGTGATATGGTTTCATCTTGCAAGGATCTCCATGGTCTCCCCTAGCCCCAAAAAAAAAACGCCCCAAATCCCCACAAACCGCTCTCCGCGCCCCACCGTTCCCACCGTTGTCACCAGCCAAAATGAAGCAGCCGACCAGCCTTGTGAGACCAAGGTCAGCCCAACCATTCTCCAAAAACTACCAACATCCCCCAACAAAAACCACAGACCACTGCACCCGCCCCTGCCCCGTCCAGCAGCTCAGCTGCACCCGCCCCGTTGTCCCGGAACCAAGGCGCCAAGTCTCCCGTCAGAGCCGACGCCATGCCCACGCCCATGGCGCCGTAGAGGATGCCTCGGCCGTGGATCGCGCGGCCAACCCACAGAGCACACAGAGCTCGGAGTTGGGTGGATAAACCATTTATACAGCATAACAACTTTAGATCATGTGTACGGGGAATTGATGAAAGAATTTATGGAAAAGAACGATAGAATTAGCTTCACTGAAAGGGATGAAAGGGATGTGACATGTTTTGGTGTTCTTTTGGTGTTGGAAGTTGTGTCCTTCAACGGCACTGAGGCAATAGGTGTTGGGCCGCGCAGTCAGCGGTCACGAACAGGTCGGGGCACCCATGAACGCTTGCTGGCCTGTCTGGAAGGTGGCGCGGCCATCCTGGCGAAAAGAAAACAGAAGGCCAGACCCGGCTGGCATGGTCATATCCAGTCCGAACTGAATGGATGATGGATGAAGTGTAAGCTTCAAACAAAGGCCGTTCTTATTCCACAGCTCTCACCGTGCTTTTGAGCCGGGATGCTGGTGATTTCTGTGGTCTGCACCAGAAACGACACTTTTTGGTAGGGCCGGGAGCTCAAGTCACATCCAGCTTGGGGGGGGTGTAGCCATTTGGCTGGCGAAGTCGATGTCACAATATGGGGTCACACCACGACCCCATTTGGAGGGTGTGGTATGCCGACCCTGGATATCCCTGGATCGCCTGGCGAACAGCCGCCCAAAATCCGCCAAAGAAAAAGAGTGTTGAACAAACAGCTCTCCTGAATGAGCAAGCCCATGATGTAGAATCCACCGGCCATCACCCAAAAGACCTGAACATGTCGCAGTTCACATCTTTTCAACAAAAAAACGCCAAAACTAGTTCGCTACGGTCCGTTTTCGCCGGAGGATCGCACCCGGCTTTCAGCGTTTCTCGTGTCCAACGATGTAGACTGAAGCCCTTATTTCATCTTTATTTTGGTGTTGTTTTCTTTCCTTCGGCACGGCCGAACGGCGCCGTCGCGACCGGGTAGGACCTACATTCACCGCTGGCCTAATTATCTTTGCACCAATGTGGCGTGCCAGTGGGTATTGCAATGGCCATCTTCCAAGAAATGCCTGATCCCCTTCAGAAAAGGATTGATTCGAAAATGGATCTGCCACGGGTGGTCTAAACCTGGCTATGCACTTCGCGAAGCCTCTCTCTCTCTCTCCCCTTAGCTGTATTTTCACCGGCGCTTTTTTCTCAGATCCCGGACTACTGCACTGGAAAGCCCAAAGGCCGCAGCACCCAGCAATTCTTTCCTCCGAAGACAAGGGCGAAACGCAAACGCGGATGGCCAAGTGAGCCGAGAGAGGGGCCGGCGCCGGCCATGGAGGTCGGCGATCGTGCCATGTGCTTTTGGCTCCGTCTCTCGCATTCTCTCTTTTTTGTAGTGGGAGGAGGTCAGGGGGTCCCTGATTGACGTCCTGAATTTGTATGTCACGGTGTTTGACCTCACCATCTCAGTGCATCGTGAGGGGCGGATTTGCTCCCTCGCGCCAAGGAGACATCCATACATTGCCCCCAACATAGATTCTTTGCGCGCGCATATGGCCTATGGCTATTGCCTGCATTGCTATGAATTGTTGATTGTATGCACTTGGCCTTTGTTTCCGAGGTCATCACCCGTGCCTGCTGATTCATCGTACCCTCGGCCAAAAAAAGCATATAACCAGCAGTCACGAAGGGGTGCCTATAAAGCGCTCCTTAGGGGGGGTGTTCAATTAAGACCCCTTTGTGACTGCTGGTGATAACATCTGACATGTGGTAGGGGTGACACAAATTCAGTTCTTTTCTGATGGAAGTCCTGGGATGAACCACTCCTGTTAGCATGAACCCTGGTACACGTCTCCACCAACCACCCCTTGCTCAGCAGAGGCATCTTCCGCTTGACCTTGTTTTTTAAGAAACCACCACTGGAACGCGTGTCAATGCGTGTCACTCGCGTGTCGGTGGTTTTCAAGGGGGTGCCCATTAACCACTCACTTAAACAAAAGGGGTGTCTATTAGGCACCCCTTTGGTGCGTGTCGGGTGGTTTTTGCATACCCCCAGTGCGTGTCAAAACGTGTCGGAAATAACCCATTTTTGGATTATAGTAGATTTGCAGAACACCTGGCTCAACTAGCATTTTGCACGTGAGCCTGCCTGTTGGCGGCTTCCAGAGTCAGCACGAAGAGCCGCTGAATGAGAAAATGGGTGGATGGGTTTGGGTGAGGGATCGACTACTTTGCCTCCAACTCGGTTTAAGATATATATCTTTTCTCATGTTCCAAACCATGACCATCAAAGGGGTGCCCAATATCCACGCACTTAGAAGATCTCAAAAATAAAAACCAAAAAGCATTCCTTTGTGACTGCTGGAATATTAATCTTTCTCATCGAGGCCTCCCATCTAAACCCATTGGGTGGGTTTGGGACTCTCATGTCCAGTTTCAAGCGATGAAGGCTTTCCAATGAACAGGCTCTTCTCGCGGTTGAGATCTGAAGAAACCCACCAGCGCCTGGTGAGGTCCTTGCTCAACTTGGAAATCATCCCACAATAGAGCTTCAAAACGTCCTTCTCCTCAGCGTGGAGCGTAAATGGGCCAATAAAAACCAACCTCTTTGCACCAAGATTTGGGATAAAACCCAAACCTAAACCAACCTCTGAGTGCAATGTGGAAGGTTTGGGAGGTTTGTCATGTGCACATGACACATCCAAACCCAAACCTCCCAAACCTGCCATCCCCCTTTTGAACCCTCGCCGCTTCAGCACGCCGCCCCATCTGCACGCTGGCCAATGTAGAATCTTGATGTAAAGAAGGAGGTTTGAGGTGTTACAATCCATGTCTCAATAATGGTTATAAATCATAGCTTCTACATATATATATATATATACCTGGCAGGCATGTCCCTTTTTGACACGTCAATCCTAAGCAGGTGAGGGATGACATCCTAGCTTCCAATCACTCCCACATCCATGTACATCTCGATGAGTTGGTGGTTGAGCAGGGCATCTTAGTGTTCCCAAAGCACTGGACGAACGGTGATGGATGCCTCTCCCAAGACGAGGATTCAACTAGAACGATTAAGTGACGGCTCCTTCGAAAATGCCCAAAACACCACAGTTCTTCCAAACATTGAACATGTTGTTGGGTGCTATATGTGCTATACCCCTCCAGTCTATTTTGGGGCAAGCAGAGTTTCCCAGCCAAACCATGTTAAATGGCATCTCCTGCCTGCTTCAGGGCAATTGTCCAAGCGCCAAGCTTCGCTCTAAACTATGAGGACCACATGGACCCTGAAAACCACTGGATGCTGCCTTACAGGGATCCATTTTCACAGTCCATGTTGGTCTTTTTCAGGGTTTTCCGCTTTCGTTTTCCCAACCTCACCCGCCCGTGGTGGCCGCCGTCGCTGCCAAGGCTCATTGCCAGAGGCCTGGACTGTGCGTGCATTGAGAAGAGAGTCCTGGGTTTCTCGGCGCAGTCAGGAATCACGGTGAATTTTCAAACATCCAGAAAAAACTATCCAGGAACACATGAGAGCAAATAAAATATGATAGAATAAAAACGATATTCCCATTAGTTCTCCACTGGCTTAGGATTTTCCCATTCTTCAATCCACTCCAGGATGACCATCTGAAAAGAAAGAACGACCACGACCACCACCACCACAAGAAAAGCAAGAACGACAACAACGACGACAATAAGAGCACCATGAAATCGACGACATGTTCTCTGAGCACCCGAGATTTCGGCGACCGTGCGGACTTCTGTCCCGTTGGTCGGTCGGACGAAAGATCGGAGCACAAACGGAACAGTGCATACAGTTGCCGTAACAATGAAATCCACTACAAACAAACAGGAGGTGAACTCCACGTAACCATGTTAGTTCCAGTAAATTCTATAGATGGCCTGAGACGCCTGACCCGACCCAAGTCGGGTCGTTCGTTCCCCAGCGTGACTTTGCGGCCATTCAAGGCCCAAGGCGCCGAGATGATCTGCGAGGCATTCTTGAAAGCGCTGGACTCCGCCTTCTCTTGGCCCATCATCACCGCCATCATGATGCCTCCCGTCCGTTCGGAAGTCATGGAAGTTTCAGAATTTCTGGGCAATGGAGGTGTGTCGCGAGTGCACCATTCTCGCATGGACACCTTCGAAGTGAGTACTTGGAGCTCTAGGGAGTGTCTAACATCCAGAAGTCACATTCTGGGGTGTTTATAGATCCCCGATGAAGTGAGTTGATATGACAGGGGCACCCAACTCCTTCCAACGTTCGCGGAACGGCACCGGCACCAGCGACAATGTGCCTCCTGGATGTCACTGCCACGTGTTGATACAGTATCATTTACTGGCAGGACAAGGGCTTAATTTGTTGTGTCTTCTTGCTTCTCACTGAAGTCTTCATTGATTAAACTGAATGACCATGAATGACCAGTACACATCCCGCCCTCAAGTCGCCTGCAAGATCTCCATCGAAAAGGAGCTGTCAATCCATTCAAACCATCCAAGCTCCTCTCTGCATCCGACACCGACCAGCCCGCGGTAGCTCCGAACCCTCCCACGGACCTTGCGCAATGCCGAAGATGGGGATGGCCAGCAGCATGGTGGCGGCCATCTCCCAACAAGCCACGAAGGCCACCACCAGACCCACCTGAAGAGCAGAAAGATCCGGTCAATGGAGTCCATGGCTCCTTGGCCATCTGTCCACCACGGCCTACCACCTGTGGTGGGCCGAACCCAGAACCCAAGCAACACCCAGCACGGGTCTTACCACGAACATCGGTGGCCAACAAAGGACTTGTTTTTTGGGGAGAAATTCTGCAGTCGGACTCGCCGGACTGGACTGGTAAATACGGTCCTTTCTTCCGGATCTTGCTGGATTGACATGGTCAGCGAAGGAAGAAACTGATCTTAGTACTTCTTATTCTGTGGGACGAGAAACTCTTGAATTCAGAAGCTGGGACTGGTATCACCTCATCCTCCATCCGGGGGAAGAAGGCTCGACCTCTTCATGTTGATCCTCAACGGCGGGCTCCAAAGCCGAAGCTCTATCCGTCAAGAGGCCAAGACGGAGCAAAGGGCATCGACCTTGTCGCCGAAGGATACCAACAACTTGGCCACGCGATAGGCATAGATCTTCAGTGAGGCCACCAGTTTGCCCGGGGTGTTCTCCTCGGTGCGCGCGGTTCTGTCGCTGTTTGGTTGGCCACCGATACCCCACATCCGATGCCGCAGGTTCCTTTCGGGCCACCGGCCGGACACAGTGACGAGTCTGACACGTCCCTCAACCGCACCAACCCCCCGTGGACCAGAAACTGCTGCAGCGATGCAGACCGTCTTCACCGTTTCAGCCAACGATGGAGTCTCGCCGTTCTCTTGGTCAATGATCTGGGATCACTCAAAACATTCTGGTGGAGGGTGTATGATGCTACGTGATGGCTTTATGGATGAGAATTGTTGTATAGTAGACGCTACCAGGACCCACAGGGGCCGGTGAATAGATGTGAATAGACATAATAAACACCCGGCTGGGCTTAGGGGGCTCTGGTACAATAGCATCTCAAGAATCGGTATGAATCGGTGTGTTATTTTTCCGTGCTCACACCACGAGCTGGCATTGAAAACCGTGCTTTTACACACCCCGTCAGACCGACCGACCACGACAGTGATGAATAAGTGAAGGAAAGCGGAGCTGCGCTGAAGGGACGTGTTTCAGCCAGGCCCATGGATTGTTAAGCGAAGTTCTGGACATGCCAATCCGTCCGCAATCCATTCCTAGTGCTTCGAAAGTACAACAAAAACAAGGAACCAGAACCAGTGGAAAAACCAGTGGAACACGGGGTTCTAGGTTCATTTCCATTGTCCCCCTATCCGCCCATCCTTCTACCGCGCCCAAGTGACCATCCTTCTACCGCGGTCTACCGCGGTCTACCCGCGGTCCCGCATCGACTCGTGCCAGGTGGCCGGGTCGTCGTGGTAGCCGATCTCCTGACGGAAGATGTTCCGTAGCATCGCCACACGCGCCTCGCGTGTGGTCACCTGAGGGCGACGAGAGGGTGAGAAGGGAGACTTCGAAAGCGCAATGTGCTGCTCTGTAATGTGTAAGACAATCACGAACTGATGACCAACAAATCACCGTGAGGGGTGGGGGGAGGAGGGAGGCCATCCCTTCAAACGGCTCTTGGGTCACTATGACTTTTGATCGTAGTGAGGGTATGGACATCTATGGGCCAAACTAAACCTCTATCTTAATCCCTAGAGCTCCAAGTACCGTCGTTTCGAAGGTGTTTGGGGTGGGTGTTTGCCAGAGGGTCCAGTCGTACCGAACCTGACGAGGTACGACTGGAAGCCCTGGGGAATGGATGGGAATGGACGTGTCCTATAGGGCATATAAATGGGCATATCCTATATATTGGACCTATGCCTTTCCATATCTCAGGGACCGGCCACCTGCATCCACCTGCCCATCCAAAGGCCATCCCGGATGCTTTCCGGTTCGGATGGTTTCTTCGGCTGTGACGTCCCCTCCTTCTCACATGACCGCCACCCAGGTCTTCCGGTCTTGTTCCGGCTTTGCGGCGCCCCCAAACGACCAGGCCCCGCCTCCGCGATGATTCCGAAGCTGCCGAACTGCAGGGTGGTCGCGACACACTTCATGGCACCGAAGATTCTGGCGCTCGACCCGACCGGTGGGGCTCGGCTCGCGCTCAGTCAGATGAAAGAAGGGTGGAAGTCGTGGAGCTCCTGGGTGGTTGCCGGGATGTGTCATCCTTTTTGACACCCCTTGGAATCGTCATGGAAGTGGAAATCGCATGAAATCACCAAGTTGTAGAATGCGTCAATTTGTAGGGGCCATCTTCCACTTCTATATTCCCAGGGTCGAGTGAAGAACATGTTTGCAATAGATTATGCTTGATTGGATTGGTTCGGACCTGCTCTCGGGTGGACCCGGAGCATACCTCTCCGGCAAGCGGCCGGAGGATCGATGGCAAACACCGGCGGGTGGAGAGCACGGGGCCATTAGTGCATCCACACGAGTAATGAGCTTGAGCTACGAGTAGTTATAGTGCAACTATGTGCAAACTGCCATTTCTATCTAACTTTCATGTGCCTTTGCCGTCCAACTCTCCTGTCAGAGTAGGAACATGAAGGCAGCATCTAAACAACTACGCACTGTATCCTGGGGTTGAAGGCTTCTCGCTCACCATGACAATTTGCTAAGTTTCTGTCGCGTGAATAGGAGAACAGCACCCCTAGAAGTGCAGTCAGACTAAGACAAATTGCGCAGCATCAAGACAGAGCAGTTCCACTTTTGTTTAAACTCCTTCATAAACCAAAAAACACTACTCAAACGTGCCACTATATTGTGCAGGAAATGCCATGTCGGATAACCTTTTTAGACCAATTTCTTGAGTCAAGTCTTACGTAGCCCTCCGGGGTGATTTAAGCTTGCGCGCTCTCTCTCTCTCTCTATCTCTCTCTCTCGGCAGCGTCTGGCAGCCGAACGCAGCCGTCCCACGACGGGGCACGCTTCATCCGTCGGAAGGACGATCAGCACTGTCAAGCACCAGGAGTGAAGTGACTCTGCTTCCCTTCATGTGAACTGACAACCTGTCCAACCTGTGGAAGAAAAACATACCTCAAGCCAAGGCCAGCATGACACAAACCAAAGAGCTGCCATCTCTGCGCTTGCTCTCATTTCTTCCTGGCACGTGCTCAACCCTCGGAAACCAGGAAGTTCTGACCAAGTGAAGAGGACGAATTGACTCGCCAAAGTATAGGATAAAATTGATTGTAAACACCTCGTGTTAACCCACTGTAAAGTGAGTGAGACAAACCATGTCGCCATGTCTGCTCAACATTATGTGCAACTAGCAGCTATCATGTTGAGATGTTTCAGCTCAATAAACATCATTAATTACACATTGACCGTCCCTCCGCTTTGCGCCTGAAAGGGTTTCTACCTCCTGTCCACAGAGCATTTTCCATTTTGGGATCGCGGTGCTTCCCCACCTACACTTGGAATCAACACCAACACCACATAGTTTCAGAAACTATTTACACATAGACCCCCGCTTCCAATCCGCAGAGCTAGCAGCTAGCAACCGTCGTCAGTTGAAGGAGTGTGTTGAACCCCTTCGCCGGCGCCACCGTTCGCCCCTGGGAACCCCCCGAAGACGGCTCATACGTGCGCCTTGTCGGGGTTCATCAGCGCCACGATGGCATCCACCAAGACGTAGGCGCCCAACAGTGGGAAGCAAGCTCCACTGGCCTCGGAAAGAACGACGTTCGGCCCCTGGCGAGAAGAAAAACGTATATCGGGTGTTTGCTGTGTTCCGCCCAGCCCGTGAAGGCCACGATTTTCGAGGCATCAGAAATAGGTTGAAAGGCCTTACAAATCCCTTACCCAAAGCATCCCATGGGAAGTTGGGGCGGTTGAAAGCGGTCCATATCTAAAGGATGGTCTGGGCCATACACTCCCGAAAACTCACATAGACCTTGACGTCCTGGCCCGGAAGATGGTTTTCCTCTACCAACCCAGTGGTTTTCAGGGTCCATGTTAGTCTTCGGTGTAACGTGGTGCGTTCTCCTAAGCGGCTCCATAACCGTTCGACCGTGCTGCGACGAAAGCCCGGGCCCTGCTTCGCCCTGTCGGGCCACCAATGCACCGATGAAGCCCGGGATGAAGAAACACCAGTACTTCTTTGAGAAGCCTCAGTGGAGGAGACTGGATAGAGAGAAGCCTCCCAGGAACACGGCCTTGATCGCGGTCTGACCATGAAGGTCAGACCGCGGTCAGCCACACACTGAACTTCACCGAAATGGAGTCAGTTACTCGCATGAATCTTATTGCTTCACTAGCACGCCCAGCCATGATGAATATCGAGTTTCACCCTGAATTGAGTGGTGAGCTGAAATCATCTGAAATCATCATGAAAGTGATGGCATAGCCCCGTACCTAGATGACCGGGCTACATTTCTTCGCCAGGTGCCTTTCCACTTGCATATGTGAGTTTTCGGAGGGTCATCACTTCAGGCGTCTCTGTATGCATCGCTCCAGACCATGCTCCACATGAACGTTCGCCACCCAACGCCACACGACACGCCGTTGAGGATCCCACCCAGCAAGCGCGACAGGGGAACCTGCCGAGGGAAAGTGGTGGGAAGCGCACGGGAAAGCGGTGCGACACCACCCGGGTGGCCGCATCAGAGGCCGCCTCCGGAATCTCTGAGGGTCATTTGCTGCCCCCTATGGGTCGCACTAGTCGGTTGAACATGGTTGAACTAAATCCACAAAACATAGACAAACCCGGCTCCAGTCGTACCTCCTCAGAAGGTACCTGGACTCTCTGAACCCACCCCAAGCACCTTCTTAGAAGGTACTTGGAGCCCTAGGGAAAACACAACGGGTTCTCTTTCGGATCTTGTGGATGTCACACCGCCCAAAAACGAACCCATAGGATCCATAGGCTTTCCGAAGGGTTGCACCCGATCAGCGTGGAAGGTGCAGGTTCTTGCACAGTGAGTGGGCCCCTGTACTTGTAATTCGTTTGGATTCATTGGATATGGTTGCATGTTGTGAGGTGGCGGCCCAGGAGTCAACTAAACCACCTAAAGCCTCTATACATACCTGAACTACGTCAACTTGCACGCGTTGTCAGGGGTTGGTTCGGATTGACACCATCTTCGGGTGGGCCAACATGACGCCCAAACGCCGGCTTACTGTCCATGGACACCGGGATGGTCTGACCGTGCCTTGTAGGTCTTGGCAATGCGGGCGTTACGGGCATCTTCGTCTTCTTCCTGCAGTGGCAGGTGTCCAGTCCAGGGTTGACCGGATTGCCACCATCTCTTGGCCCACAAACCAACCAAAAAGCTCCAAACAAGTGAGCATTTTCGTGACCTTCAATGGAGGTGTTCAGTCTGCATGTCACATGCCTTCCATGTCTTCCAAAATTCACCAGGTGTCCCCCGCGTCGCAGCGCCAGCGGCTCCTGCGCATGCTCGCGATGTACACTGAGTGGGGAGGCCCTTAGTAGTGACGGAGACGATTCACAGAGCTGACATGCGAATCATGCGAAGAAGCCGCAAAATACAATGCACCGGTGCCTTGGGATGTCATTTGGTGGAGAGCTTCCTCGGTGCAAGTTCCTTGCGGCCCTGAGGCGGCTAGGGGCCCTTCTGCCTTCTATCTATCACCCATGTGGCAAACCATGCTGCCTATATATACGCTTCCATCAGTCAAAGGCTGGAGGAGAACCATGTCCTCGAAACCAGCACCGCTCCGGTGTCGCAGGATTGGCCGCTTGGGGGGGGAGGAGAACGTCCCAGCACCGCGGAGCGCTCCGTCGCAACTCAAGCGGCTCCTCTTTCTCTTCGGCCTCAGGGAGATGGATGGGCGAATTCAGGGCGAGGACGTGCTGATTTGGACGGTGCATCCAGCACAGCTATTCATGGGTAGTTGATGGTAGTTTTGAGGTCTCCCTGTTGCTGTTGATCTGTTCGTTTGCTTGACACCGGAAAGCGAAAGTGAAGTCGGAAGTCCTACGGTCCTACCTGTCTTCCGAATTAAACGGCTAATGGTGCGCTCCGAGCACGTCCGATGCACTTGGACAGTCCTGGCTAAGCCATCCTCCTCTTCGCCCCACGTCCAGGCCACGTCCACCGCGCCCCCGGCACCGTACGCGAAGCAGGATTCGCGCCCCACCTGTCCCAGTGAAGTGGTGGAGGCCTTTCGCAACACGGCGCCCTGAGAGGCTGCCAGCGCTTGGTAGATCCCTCCCTCGCGCCGATGGCGGCGGATTCCGTGCGATGGCGGGAGGGGGAAAACATGGAGCGTTGGGTGCAACACATGGAGCGTTGGGTGCTAAAAATGGTTTCAGTACCGTGTCGTGATCTGCAAAAGCATGCCAACTCTTAAAAGGTCTTCCTTAACCAGCCAAAGCCAATGCATGCAAGCACACCACCAGATTGGGGAAGCATCCCAGTCAGTCCACGAGGCCTGTACACTGGTTCTCTCCCCCCGGACGGTAACTAAGTGCGCTCAGCAGATCAACGATCCCCCTATGAACCGGCACCACAGTGGTTTATGCGGACACCCTCCTTCCTATATATGTATTTTCCATGCACGAACCACCCGAACTCCGTGGTGCCGCAACAGGCTTTACCAGATTTGTTCATCAACAGTCGAAGTCGAATTCCGTCGTCGTGCCTGATGGGCCAAGTCTTTGTGGGAGCCACTCTCCTTCACCTGCCACGGCCGCCAAAATGTCCAACACCGGTGAGGATGTGAAATACGTGATGGGTTCTTCTACATGATTCCGAGGATTCAAAGGACCAAGCCGGGTGACCCTTACTAGTATGTTATCTTTATTGTTTATATAGCAGGTTCGTGAAAGCGACCTCTTTGGAGTCCCTAAGTGCCCCTGGCCCAGGGCCCAAGTGGATCTCAAAGGTCACTTTGAAGAGCCAGGTGCAGTGGTTTCAGTGTATATAGATGGTTGCAGACTTCAAGATGTCCTTTAGATGGGGTTGCACATAACCCACCAAACTCAGGCATTGTGCCATCTATATAGTCTGAAAAAGCTCCGTTCAGCGAACTTGGAGCGAGTTGAGCCTCGAATCCTGTCAGTATTCAGTATTCTGTCAGGTCCAGCAGTGAAGTGCCCAGCATCAAAGAAATCAGGTCAGCCTAGGTAACCTACTGTGATGTGCGAGCATGTGGCACTATGACAGCTCACCCCCTGTTGCAAAGTTGTTGCAAAAGGAAAATCCTCTTCCGCGTTGTCATGTTCTAGCTCCATGTCACCTAGATCACCTAGCATTCTTGAAGGATGGGCATCCATGCGTTTCAGTTACATCAAACATCTCCAATAAAACCAAATGACCACGCCGCACCCACCGCACCGACCAGCACTTCAACGCTCTGGGCACAGGCGGCGCTTGGAGCTCTCGCCTGCCCATTTTCCAAGACGTAAATCACGTCCGAGTTTTCCACCTCGTCGCCCAACGCGAAAGAGCAAAGACGGACAAAACCCCGGTCACACGTGATGGCGAGATCAAGGGTGAAGATGGTTTTCCACTTCCATGTTACAGCGACTCGGTGAGCATAGCATATAATTACAAGTCCAGTCTGACCCAGTAAAACCTAGTCCTTTACCTCGTATCGCATGGATGTGCAACACCATGGATTTGGAAGGTCCAGCCAGTCAGATTTGATTTAACGCATGGTTCGTACGCGTGGCAGCCTAAACCAGCAACCTTGCAGCCCAAAGAGTTCAACTACCACCTGATGTGCCTAGCTTCATGGCTCCCTCGATTGATCATGGCTCCTGTGTGCAACAATTGATGATGGATGCCGTCAGCTCCTTTTAAATAGCTCCCGGCCGACCTGCGTTTCTGTCACCCATGTCTATAACTCCCCACACCAAACTGGCGCCAAGCTTCAGTACTCAAGCGGTGCGCGATCGTCACAATGGTCATGCTGCCATGCTTGCTGCTCCTACAATCCGAAGCAAGGCTAACAAGTCCAGCTGACCTCTTGGTCCAAAAAACAGCTCCAAATCCATCTGAGAGGAGAGTACATATATTTTGCCAAAACCAAAGCCTCAAAATGGGAGATACTATGAGAGGGAGATCAACTGGAGACCCCACTGAGATCCCCCTAAACTTCGCCGCTTCTGGATGTGAAAGGCTTTTACGAATCGGAAACTGGTAACACCCTTTTTGGGTTCTTCACATGGCCACATCCAAAAAAGTCTCCTTCCTTCACCCGAGGTGCTTGCGGTGTGGGACTCATGACGGGCATCGCCCCTGGACTCGTCGAAAACGCCACAACCAGAAGAAAACAGGACACACTATAAGCACCCAAGAGTGAAAAAAAAACAAAAAACAAAACACCCCACGCTTGGGCGTTTCGACCCCGCAGAGGCGTTAAACATGATGAAAAAAACATCAGGCGACGGCATCGAACTTGGGGCCCGGGCTTCCCCAGCTGATCGATGGTTTCTTGGATCATCTTCTCGGAACTGCGATCCAATGCACTAGTGGCTTCATCCTCGAACGGCGTGTGGCGGGAGATGAGTCATGCCGGGAGAGGAGGATGTTGGGATTGGGAGATGCGCACGTGGACTAGCTGTCCTCTTAAAACCTCTTACAACCCACGCCATTAGATACAATGGTGTATACTAGATTGGATGCTCCCCATATCCATATGGTCTACAGTGCCCCCTTCTGTACAAGATCCACACCGCCCGATCTTGGATCAGAATCAGGTCCACCCACTTTTGCGTGCGGGCTCTGCTCGAGTCACGCCCCGTCACGAGAATTTGGTGGGTTCCGCTTGGGTGGGCCTGTCGTGGCCATCATGGTTCTTCCGCTCTTCTCATGCAAAACCCAGACACTCCATGTATGGTATATTTACCTACATGGGGGTGGTTGGGGGGTCAATGTAGGCGCATATGGCATACATGGAGTGTCTGGGAAAGGTTAGCCTCGGATCTATCTATGTTCCTCATGGTTCTAGCACCAGCGGCATTGTTTGGTAATGTTTTGAGCGGCTATGCTATAACTATATAGCGTGGCTTTCACATCAACAATTGGAAGAACGCGCCATGTTTGAGCCCAAACTCATCATGGAAAATCTTCTGTGTCAAACACCTCTTGATTCAATTCATTCAAAACCCAGTGGCCAGGAAAAGCACGGAGGGCTTCTTCAGCAACGAGCGGGCGATGGCGATCCGCTGCTTCTGGCCACCCGAGAATTGCGACCTCCGGCGGCATCGAAGCGTGCAAGCGTGGGTTTCCATTTAAAGTTTGAAGGCCAAGGCTCCGCGATGACGTCTTCATGTTGGAAGTGCAAAGTACGTTCAAACCTAAACTATGTGACAAAAAATATTGACATGCGGGGTGTTGTCATGCAAGATTGGGATCTCAAAAAGTAATGAGGAAACTTGAGGTGGTGGAAAAAGAACATCTGGTGTAGATCACGTAATCTAGCTTTCCGCCTCCTTACTTTGTAGGCACAAATGCCACCAATCCAGTGAACCTATAACAACCTGAGCTGCGATACGGCTATACTTCAATCGAATTCTGGCGGGTAAGCAGGTGTCTGAGAAGCCCATCGCATGTCATGGCACTTGGATTTCGCCCTTCTAACCAGAAAGGTAACGTAACCACCGGCTTTTCCAAGTCGGCACGCCCTGCCCTTCGCGATGCCGAGCTTCCCCCCGGAGCCGACATAGGTGTCCATCCCGTCCGGCAGTTTCTGCACAAAGTCCAGTTGGGCGCTGTGCGCTGCCGCTTCCAAGTCCTCCATCGAGGACATTGGAAGGCTGACACAGGAAAGAGCCCCAAATCTGTCATGCAAGCACTCTGTAGCAATGGGAGAGAAGGGGCTTGAATATGCTTATATGGCTTATATGCTAGAAACTGCCAGGACACCGCAGTTAAAAGTATAATACAAAAAGTACATAACAACCAAAACCTGCAGACCCCCCTCATCCCCCCTCCCTGTGTAAGTCACCTTCTTACGCCGCCGCTGCGCCGCTACGATTCTCGGAGCTTTGCCTTCGATCTTCGGCGGATCAAAACAGGGACAGGGGGACCCTGGCTTTTTCATGTGTTTTTATTTCTACTGCGCACCAAGATCATCCTGGATCATCCTGGACATGGGTGTCCTGGCGTTCCTACCCTACCCTAACTACGTAAACAGATCTCACAAACAGGGCACCCAGACAGGAAGTGCTATAGCTGCTATAGCAGCTTCCTCTTGAGTTGCTGGAGGGGCCCAAACCATTTGGGCCACCCGTGGCGCCGTCTCTCCTCCTCCGTGGCGCCACTGCAGCCTTGCATGATGTTCGCACGCACCGTGGTGGCGAAGAGCACCGGTTCCTGTCCGTCCGTCGGCGGACGAAGCAACCGGTCCGGCAAAGAGCGGCGGTCCGAGCCGCCCGAGGAAATGCCCTGCGTGGTCATCGTTTGGTCATCGCCCTATGCCTTTTCTGGGTTCTCTGAAAAGTTGCTGGGGAGTGGCTCGAGCGCGCGTAATGTGTGCAGTGGCATCTCGTGAAGCGCGCCGTGTCTCGCTTGGAACTGTCCGCCTTCTTTGTTAGTGACCATATATATTAGGTTGGCGGGTTGCCTGCGAAGCACCCTCCAGTTCGTAAGGACAAGGTCACAAGGTGGCAGCAAACCAAAATATATAAGCTTGCCTGGGGCCTGGCAAGACTTCAGCTATCTTCAGCGTCCCAGGTCCCGGACGCTTCAGCAGTGGATGATACCCTGACATCCTGACAGCTCCGAGAACGAAGCCATTGCACCCGACGATTCATCCGAAATCTCTGCAAGCCATAGGCTGAATTAAAAGCATATGGTCGTGATCCTGGCGCTCACTCTCTTGACCTCCCTTTCACACCTTCAGTTTCCCATAACTTCCCCAGTCCTGACCAACATATCCGATCTGCTTGCGATACGACTTGATTTTCACCTTCCTGACAGCATTGAGCAAGCCGCCGCTGACTCTGCGTTCTGGGTGCTCAACCCCACATCGTGTGCACCCATGCAGTCTGCTCTCAAAAAGGGGCCCGCCAAATAGCACACATTTTCTAGTAACAAAGGGCATCACTACGTCACTACTAGTAACAAGTGCATTTCCATTAGTAGCAAGAAAAAAGCTTAGTAACAAGGTGCATCGCTACCACAAGGGAGCGCCGCTACCTTGGGTACCGATCTGGTTCAGCGCACCCAGCGCACTGAAACTGGGCATCACTCTGAAACACCTCACTTCAACGCCTCGCCACGGAAAGGATCCCTGATACTGTAGCCCTCCAACGTAAGCCGGCCCGGCCCGCTAGCGACGGGACCTCAAATCCACGTCGTTCACCAGCACCGCGCCCTCCAACGGGTCATAGAAGCGTTCCAGTAGGGCCATGATGGTGCTCTTCCTCGGGGCAAACGCACAGCAAAAGCTGTAGGGAGTTGGTGGGACAAAGGTTCACAGCTGTGATCTTGATAGTGGAACCCCCCCCAAAAAAAAAAGGTCAAAGTGATTCGTGATTGTATCATGATTGAGGGCTGGAACTTCGATGGAAACTTCGAGTATGCTTCAAGTCTGCCCATGTTGGCAGACTTCAGGACTCGCTTCAGCATCCATCCAGGTCGACGGTCACGCCGAACTTCAGGTCCCGCACAGGGCGGAGGTTTGAAGCGGTCGCAGTGTTTTCCCTAGGGATCCAAGTATATAACCCACCGTCCCATAACGATGCCTCCATCCTGACCGTACCTACATAACGGGTGCCGTACGTGGATAGACTCTTGACTAATTCTACTCACCCCGGATTCAAAGGCCTCTTCATGTGGGGGGTGACATATATATATATATATATATAATCAAGGGTCTGAATTAGGGTTTTCGGAGGTGCTGAGATGCTGAGACTCTTGGTTCCCAGGCGGAAATCGAGTTCAGAGATGCTGAGACCAGAAACTCCACCCCAATAGAACTCTGCACCCAAAGCGAAAGAGACGAAGCCCTCAGTTGCGTTGGTACTCCTGGACTTCACGTCGACGATTCGCCCTTTAAAGACCGTCGACGATTCGCCCTTTAAAGACATTCTCATTCAGACCAATATATACGCAATATAGCTATGCGACAATCGCACGGTATCCCTTCTTGGGGATGACTATGGCTGAGCCAAAAACATCGCTTTGCGGGCTTCCGATGATGGAGCTTGGCCCATACTCGAGATCACTCCAATAAGGTTTTCTGCGGCTCGGCTGGCCCTTTGTAGCTCTTCAGCTCAGGCACCCACTGCCAGATTCTCCCACGAAGGCCACTTTCTGGCCCTAGAGCTATGGCAGACATGATGGAAGAGTTGCCCAAACCGGTTTTTGACACGTAAGCAGCCGATGGATCAAATACTGATGGATTCAAACCTCCTCCTCTACCAGAATGGTTTTACCGTCTCCAGGGCTGCGGGGGCTTGGATGAACCAACGGTCTTACTGGGCACCAGCCAGGCGGTACCTCTACTCCCGTGCTGGCACAGGTGAACACCAACTGGCGGATCTTCGGTCGAGAGGACTGATGGCTGAAGAGAACTCTGGGACTCTCAAGCAAGAACTCTATTGCAAGAAGCGACTAGTAGCTCCTGGCACTAATTAGTAACTAGTAGCAAGAAACTACTAGCAACAAGGGCATCGCATCGCTACTAGTAGAGTTGACTATGAGAAGGGAGTCAAGAAGGGCGCGCTCAATCACTGAGGATGATTATGGTGAAATCACCCAGTCTGATAAAAACACTGCCTTGTTTGCCTACATTGAGGTGGTTTGTTCCGGGAGGGCCATGTAGGGCATACCTCAAACACCCGGGTATGTAAAGTTGTGGTCATTTCGTGAATATCAACTAGTGTATGTCGCTTGATGTAGATCCTGTTTTATTCAGGCAAAGAAGAAAAGGAAACGGCCGCTTCATTGGGTTTGCCACTTTGGACCTTCAGTAGCGCAACAAAAACACTTTGGACCTTCACTGCCACTTCAATTTGCACCGTTTCGGTGCCGTTTTGGCACCATGTCTGTTGCTCATTTTCCCAACCCTATCCAAATCCCCAAGGTGCTGCACAACAAAATTTCTGCCGGCTGCCCCCAAGAACTTCGAAAAGACCAAACAAGACACACAAAGGAAGACCCTAGAAGTCCAAAACTGTTTTTAGGTTGCTCTGGTTTTGTAGTGTAAAACCCTTAGCAAGCCTTAGTACAACAATGGCTGTTTGGTAAAAGCTATTTTAAATTTTGTGGTTCGACTTCTAAGTAGGACATGTAGTATAGGTGCCTATAGTTATATTGCACCCGTCTTCCAAAGGTCGCATCTTTCAGGTTTCAATCTTCCCGGGTGCATCCAGTGAGACCATCTTGGATTTGCTGTCCAGGAACCTGGAAAATGAACAACACATTAATATTCCCTGTTAAGGGGATTTGTCTTTTTCTTTGTGATTTAACCATAGAAAATTCAAAAATCACCAAAAAAAAAACAAAAAAATAAACACGACCAGGCGATGCATTTGCAGCGCCATGTGGGCACCGTCCGCCTGTTTTCGGGCAGAACCTTCCCCTTCGTGAACCGCCCGCCGACCACAGATGTAGCCCCTCAAGTGGGGCATCAAGGCCCAGTGGGGTTAGCAAACTTCCTACCCTCCCTGAAACAATCATGGAAATGGAACAGTTCGGCCCCTCGAAGACCATTTTCCTCTCTCTGAGGAGGTCCTGGTCAGCTTTCATGTATGTGGGAGTGGCTTCCCCCCCGCACAAAACAAAGAGGAGCTGCCGGGGCTGCTCAACAGGAACAAGCGCCCAACACCACTCGGCCGCCGTCCCGCTTGCGCATGGAGTCGAAGCGAAGCGCGGCCGCCGGCGAAGGGGTTGCGCGCGCCTTGCGGATGGTCAAGGTGATGCCGCGCAACACGGGCACGTCCGGGCGCGCGGGGTAGGCGAAATGCACGTCTTGAAGTTGAAAGGTTTCGATCTCGCTGAGGACTTGGCGCTCATCCTGCTGTCCTCAGCAATGCCAGGACAGCCCGGCACTGAGGACTTGGCTGAGGCATGCTGGGAAACAGGGGTGGTGCCCCTCGACTAAGGAGACATTGATGTGGGAAGGTGGATCAATTCAGTTATGAAGAGTAGCGCAGATCTTCGATCGCTCAGATGAGTCCGTTCAGTTGCTGAACTTGTGACTGGAAAAGGCAGCACAAAGCAGAACTCTGAATTGTGTGGCCCGACATCATGACCGCCATTACCCACTCGAGTTCATTGAGCTGAAGTTGTCCTCACTCCAGAATCCGGGCGGAGTGGCTTTCTACAATATGTTGGACTTATTGGTGATGTTGGTTGACCCTCAAATGCACCAAACTGGGGATTCTTCTCGGCCACGTCGATACGTCGATACGTCGAACAACAAACCCGGCCAGGGCGCTGCGCTGGATCACGGAGTCATGCTTCACCTGGGCGCGAGGTCGGTGATGTTCGTCTGCACCGACCACCACCAGGGACCAGGTCCAACATCGTCCAAGCGGATTGCAACCACCATTGCAATTAATAGTCATATATAGGTGGTAACATATAATAACATTTAATAGTCATATATTGCAATTAATTGTAACAATTTGTAACATATAATTACCACCATTACAACCCTAGGATTTCAACCACCATTACAACCCTTTGAAAAACCAAGCACCATTGAAATTGATCGCGCCATTACCAAAGAACGAAGGCAAAAGCTCGTGGTCTTACTAATACTCGAAGTTGGTCTTGGGGTGGGATGAGGTGGGTGTTCCAACCCTATGCCATTCCCTGAGTGGATGATGATGGTTAGGTCGCGGACCTTTTTTCTATAATTGTATACCGGCTGTTACAATTAGTTACAATGGGACGCCCCCAAGTTATCATGATTCTACTTATATAGTGGCCCCCAGACAAATAGTGGCACGATTTCCAATACCTTTGGAAAGGGATTGTATGCTCTTCTATCTATGTGGGGTCACTATTATAGATCCTACCATTTCTACCATACGGTACCACCCAGGCCCGGTGCCCAGGCCCGTACGCGCGGTCGATGGGAACCGCCCCGTGGGCGGGCCCAATTGCACACCATCTCAGGTCGCCACAATATAGAAAAAGCGGGCCATGGACACCTGGCTTCGGACGAGACCAACGACATTGGCAGATCTTTGCGCATTGCGTTGGTGATTGCCTTCAAGAGAAGGAACCAATTTATATGACTCCTGGTACGTTTCTCTCTCAACGAATCTCACTGACTGCTCAGCTCTGAAGCTTGGCACCTCCACCTCCCCCCCGGCAGAAAACGCCCGCCTGCGCCGCCGCGACGCCGGCAATGCCCGGCGCGATGTGGCCGATCATGAAGCCGGCGGTGAGGACACCTGGGCCGTGGTAGGAGGGCGGCGAGATGGTGATCCAAGTGTTAGGAGAAAAAACCATTGCGAACCTGTTGGTGGCCAGAAGAAAACGGACCAAAAGCACGTCTAGAGGGCTCAGTCTGGTGGTGACATGTGGTGGAACTTGCTTTTGTTTGCAGGGGAAGGTACGAGTATGGGGGAACACAATTTGAAGCCAACGCAGGGAACACAGACTTCTGCACTCGAGGCAGGCGATCTACTTGGTCCGAACAATGATCTCTTCCATGATTCGAAGGGAGTGGATCAAGTACTAGATTCAACGTCAAACTTGATGCTGTTCGTTGGCTGGGTGGAGCTTTCAAACATTGACGTGAGCGGAATGTCTTTCCCAGCCCTGACCCTCTAAAACCTCGTCACTTCCGCCATGAATTCACCATCAAGCCCCACTCCATCTTCTTTTTGTTCGCCCCGCCGTGTCAGACGTTCGGGTCTGTAACCCAAGCGGCAGAAAAAGGCGGACATGACCTTGCCAGACGTAAGGTCCTGCACCGAGACAGGGCCGCGTACGCGTCAAGCATGGTGCAGCGGGGTGCAGGTGGTGAGATGTGTTGCGCCAGGAGTTGGCCGCAAAGAGCTACAACGACTTCTTGGACTTTCGCATCCGAAAACACAGGTTTCCAGCTCGCAGGACCTGGTTGCCGTTGTAGATCAAAGTCATGGCATAGTAAAAGGCCACAGCCATGGAGGAGAAGTAGATCAACCAAATGTAGCCCATGCCTGAGGGCCGCCAGTAAAACAAGGACCCAATATCAACCAAGAGGGGGACCAACAGGTCACCATGTTGCCACTTGGGAGTCTTCAAAAAGCCGACTTTTGGAGGTTGCTGGTGCTAAATCATATCGCCCTCTCCAGATCTGCTTTTCCAACTGCGGACGTCCCCATCCCCTCGCCACCCGTGTCCGGAGTATTGCTCCCGTGCCCGGCCGCGGCGGTGACGCTTCGCGCCGGGGTGCCGAATCCCGTCTTGATGCGGTGCTTCAGACCTGGCGGCAGCGGCGGCAGCGGTGCTGGAGCGGCGGAGGCAAACAAGAACACCGGCCGGTATGTGACTCCCCCCGCACACCCACCGGCCAACTGAAGCCGGCGACGGTCCAAATCTTTCGAACTCTGGGTGTTCGGTTTCGACCTTTGGTGCATCAACCTCACCAAAACTGGCCATTCCGCCCTCACCCAACGCCATCGGTCTCACGTTCCGAACCTCCTCGCTTGGCGAGGTCCGTCGCGGTGCGATAGCGGGCCAGCTCCCGCCCCTGTCGACGTAGCGCAGCTTCGGGGGGGTTCAGGGACCTGTTGGTGTTCGCTTCGAAGTCAAGGAAGACGAAGTGTCCCTAAGAATCGTGCGAAGCCAGATCATTAGTGCGAGCGCTATCCTGCGTCCTACCTAGGAGCGTCTTGTACCTACTAGCTACCTGGGGGGAGCGGGCTTCAATAAATGCTTGTTTGGTCTGATGTTTTCTTGGCAACGAGTTAGTCTCGAAGGGTTCCACTTGTGACCAGGACGACCAGGGACAGGGCGGTGAAATCAAACAGGAGACATTTCGGGATTGCTCCCTTTTGGCGTAAACAGTGTAAACAGTAAACATGTAAACCATTGTAAACCAAACTCGTCTGGGGCAGGAATTGGTCCCAATGATCCGCAATCCCTATGGCCACGCATCGGCAAAACGATGGTCAGCTGCTGGGAGCTTGGCGTACAAATACATATCCAGCAAGTCCAGAGGACAGGTTAAACTAGTGCATAGGGTCTAGGGTAAAACACGCATTCCACGTTCACTCACGGCCTCTTTAAGCTTCGAGCTCCCGTTCTGCCAAAGCACCGGTAAAACTGCAGCGTTAGTGGTTTTGCATGGGTCAAAATGTTGCATTGACCCACTGGGATATGTAGAGGCTCTCATAGGTGTGCATGGGCTGTGTGAATCTTCTGATGGTGCTGTGGTATGGTGTGCCCTATGGCCGACTGGTGGTCACTGCGGTGACCGTTTGATGGCGAGATCATCCGTCTGTAGAACCACCTGCCAGCAGCCTGTAGAGCAACAAAAACCAAATTGGATGTGTTCGTTTAAACCTAGCTTGAAGCGAAGTAAGATTCTAAGGAGAGGAGAGGAAGGAAGCTTGGGAATCAACAACCACATGAACGACACCATGGCTTCCTCTTCACATATACACAAGACAAGGCTTTCCCCAGCCTCGCCACCAAACGCGACCTTGGTGATGGCGCTGTTGTGCGGAAGGGGACCATGCACGGGCAGAAAAGCTGGATGGCACAACCCCTTGGACTGACAAGTGGACCTGACCCTGCTCGATGACAATTTGATCCTGCTATACCCATTCCTGCGAGTCTGGTGACGTTGGGCAACATGATTCCCGTCTCCTTCACTGGAGAATTCTCTTCCAAGCTATGGAGCATAGAATTGATGGAGATCGCTTCTGCCACGCAACAAGAGGGAGAAAAACAACGCAAATATCCTCGCAACAATTGCCAGGGTTTGAACATCTTTGAGCATTCAGCGACTTCTTTTCTTCTCTAACATGCCATTTCATGTTTGTCGGCCTCTGTTTGTCGCAAGACAGTGTCACCGGCATAACATCAGGATCCACCACTCCTGGCATCACAATTCACTGGTGCCAACTGGGTTTTGGAGCAACGAGGTGTTCAAAACCTGCGACGAGGTGTTACCATCAAAACAAACCTGCCTCAGTCTCATGGCTGGCGAGCATCCTTAAAGGATACGAGTGGTACAAGAGTAGATGGTACAAAATTACCCCTATGGACTCAATATGGATCCCCATCTACAAAAAAAGTCCTGGGGTGCCAGTGCCATCTACCCTGAAGCTGGTGTAGGATGAGTGCCAGGGGGCAAACACTGGACACTGTGAAAGCTTTGGACGAGCAATGCTACCACCGTCAAGCTGCCACCGTGCGGATGGCATAGAGCACTTCATCCGCCAAGGCTGCAGCCTTTTCATAGGGCCCTTGCACTTCTTTCCTGGGGAGATCTTGCTACTAGTCCGCGCAGGAATAATAAGAAGCGCCAACCCTAATTGAACACTCTTGATCAATCAACTGCCCCATATGAAGAGGTCTTTCAATCCAGGCGTCTAGGCCCAAAGCCTTTCGCCTTTGGGCACACCGGGTTCCCGCGGCTGGGCTGCTCCCTTCGCAGGGAGGGTCCAGCGTCCACAGAGGTCTCAGGACCGACCCGCCTGAGACCTCGGTGGCAACTTTTGCCTTGGCGCGCCATGGTTGTGGGATTGGAGCGCTGGCATGTGGCCGTCGAGCGGATGATCGACGAGCCATGGAGAGGGAGGATCAAGAGCTTCTTCCAGGACCGCCGTGCAACGGCTCACCTGCTTAGGCCTGGTGGGAAGGTGGTCATCTCCGGAATGGTGGCCCTTGCGACCGAAGCTGTTCTCGAAGTCGAACCGTTTGAATTCAACCCAGGCCGAGGGTTCGTTGTGCCTTCGCCGAAGGGTTTGAAGATCAGGGTGGCTGTACCGGAGCTGGGACGAAGAGCTGTTTTTCCTTCTGTGGGCGACCACATTACCTGCGTTGGAAGCCAGATTGTTGACAATCAGTGGGAGACTATCTCCTTGGGGGCTGACACGGTCATCGTGTTCCGACCTCAATTCAAGCCTACGGAACCGCTGAATGTTTTGCATCTTTTTGCTGGTGCTTATGGTGGTTGGACCCGTGCTGCTCATTGGTTGGCTGATGCTGTACCTGCCCTTCCAATTGCGCATGAGCTACATGTTGATCATGATGAACGCATCATGCGGGTCTGGAGCCGACAACATGGTGTGCCACATAGCACCGGGAGGACACCTTCCACGCTTGCCAACACGAACCTGCAGACTGGTATTTGCACAGGAGTTGATGATACCTCCTTGCTCAATGCATGGCCACATCGATACAATAGTGTTACAAGTGCCTCCCCTCCTTGTATCTCCTGGTCGCAAGGAGGACGCCAGCAAGGACTCAATTGTAGCAGTGGCTACGCAATGATCGAAATGATCATGCTGGCCGAGATTCAGCAACCGCTTCTTCTCTTCTTGGAAGGAGCGGATTCAACTGTTTATCATGAGCACTTCCCCATTTTGGAAGCTTTGTTGAATCTTATAGGCTACCATAAAGTTTGGCAGCAGGTTGTGCACCAGCATCAGCTTTCGCATAACCACAGGTCTAGGTGGCTTGCAGTCTGGGCTCGTTTTGACTTGGGCCTCCAACCTCATGAGATGGGTTTCGAGCTTCGTGCACCACCCTTGGTTCCATGGAATGACGCCCTCAACACCTTTTGGGTGCCTGGATCCTTCAGTGACCAGCTCAGGTTGGATTCCGAAGCTTTGGGGATGTATGGTAACCCTGGGTTGCTACCACCAGCAAAGAGAGTGAAAACCATGGCTTCCACCACTGAGGTACTGCATTCGAGGGTTGCCGATGTCAGCCAACCACTGCCGACCCTCTGCTCCTCGTACACTCGTCAGCACCGGCTTCAGGTCGACCATGTCATGAGCAAAGGCATCTTTGCTGCACTGGAGCTAAAAGAGGGTGTTTACACCTTCATGTGCCCCACTCGGTTTGTGCCTCTTTTCGGTACTACAGGGACAATCACTCTGCCGAGTGACGCTTCGTTTGCCTTCCATATACTAGGTAATGCTATTTCGCAATCTCAGGCAACTCTTTGCTTGGCGGTTGGATTTGCTGCCCTGTTCGGCCTCGATGTCTCTCCGACCATGCTCGTCAGACAAGCGTGGAATGACAGACTCACCAGTAAGAATGCATTGGTTCAGGTCTTTGAAGACTGGCTAACGATCACACGAGTTCAGGACATTGCTGTATCTATGCCTTGTCGCTCCAATTTGGTGCCTTGTGAGGGACATGGGGTTCAGATTGTTCTTGAGCACGTGCCCACCCACCATGTGTGGAGTATTCGAGTGCCGAAAGCAGCTACCCTCGTCACGGTGTTCATTCTTGCCATGTTCACCAAAGGGATATGTCCTGATGCATTGCAGTTTCGCACCTTGGAAGACCAGACCCTTCAGGACATCCCGGTCCTGGAGGCACTCGCTATGACGTCGCAGATTGAATGCCTCTTGTGGACCTTTCCGCTTCTTTGGATTCGACCTACTGGTCCAGCGGAAGCAAATCTGGAGCGTGCTGACCCTCCTGCTGACATTTCTCCCACTGTGCCCTTTTCTCCTTGTGCCGAGGAGCCATTGACTCTTGTCTTGGAGACTGTACCACCGCAAGTTCCTTCACAGGAACTCTTCCAGGAGATGCTTCATTTCTTGGACTTCAATGCCACGTGGAAAGACAACGAAAGTTCCAACAAGCAATTGGTCTCCCTTCTCTGGGAGAATACTCTTGGAGTTCTCACGCTCAAACTTGATGCCACAGTTCCAGCAGCTGACCTTCAAGAGCAGCTAGCCACACACTTTGGCAGCAACCAGTTTGCCATCTACCAGAGCCCATTTGCCGTTCCCAAGATTGCCCCAGGACCTCTCTTCACAGTGAGGCCACGCAATCACAGCAATGATGCTCTTGTCGTATTCCAGAAGGTGCAGACTGAAGTCTGGGTGCGAGCCCACATTGTGCCCAAGACACTTCACAAGACCACCCTGGTCACCACACCCCAGGGAGCATTCCGCATTGCTTACCACAACAATCAAGCTTGCTCGACTGAACAACTTCATCTTGCGAATGGAGATTGGCTGTTGATTGAACCAGTGCCAACGACTGTTGTGGCAGGTGGACACCACAGATGGACTCGCAGCCCCGAGACTCTTCCACGAGGAGCCAACTTCACTGCTCGTGTATTCTTCAGCATCAACACCCACGGCTGGGCAGCGTCCGATGAAATTCATGCTGCCATGATGTGGTTGCATACTCGCTTCCCGGAAACGATTGCAGAGTTCAACCTTTTGTGCTGGAGAACCAATGAGCAAGAGTTCAATGACGAGCTCTATGGAGAACCACGGTTTGCTGAGAGTGGGCGAACAGTCATTGCTGTACTCGTGGACAACCACTGGGCTGCTGTTGAAGTCAACCGGATTGGTAGGCACACACAGGTTCATGTCTTTGGCCTTGGTGCCCAATTTGCTCAGCGTGCTCTCCTCATGATGTGCCGATGCATTGACCTTGCTCCCCACAGGGTGCAACAGCACATCCACCCTGCTCAAGCTCCTGTGCATCTTTGTGGTTGGTTCCTGCTTCAGCGCTACTATGTTTTGTGTGGTGCTCTGCGTCAGCTTCCAGACTACTTTGATCTCTTCAATGCACTGCCTGCGTTCCGCCGAGCTGAAATACGTGAAGCGTGGGAATCAGGACAGGAAGACTGGCGTCGTGCTGGAGCCAATGAAGACCTGGTCATTTTTGCCACCACTCTCCGTACCAACTTCCTTGTCAACCTGGCGGCGACAGCCACTGACACATCCTCCGCAGTTAACATACCGCTGGTCGCTGAGTTCACACCACAAACGGTCACTGCCGTTAGCACGACACCTGCTGAGCCCTCACCACCTGAAGACACAAACACGACAGCTGACACCCGGCAGCTGCAGCCGTCAGCACCCATCCAAGTTGTGGGTGTGGCACCTCCACCTGTGCAGCAGCACCACCCGCTCCACCGTATCCAGAGCCGCTTACTTGAGTGCCTTGTTCAGCCTGGCTGGCTTTCATCTGACCTTCTTGACCACACGCTGGATGTCCTCCGCTGGCAGTACTCTCATGTGTGCTTTTGCCCACCGGCTGTGTGGGATCCTGATCGTTGGAACCTGCGGTTCCTGGCTGACCTTGAATGCTTGCATGAAACTTTCAGCCAATTGTTTCTTTTCGTTCTGTGGAGGGAACATTGGATTTTGTGCGAGATTCACATGCATGCATGGGAAGTGTCCATTCAGACCATTGGGCCCCTCGATGCTGTGCCTGATTCACGCTACATTGTGGAAGCTGTGTGTCAATTGTTCAACATCCATGACCTTGTGCTCAATACCTCCGCTGTGCACTTTGGCGCTGCACCAGGTCTTTGTGGTTGGGCTTTACTTCACACACTCTTTCGACGCTTCCAATGTCAGATTCCTCCGCTGAGTCAGCCGTGGCGTGCTGCTCTTCGCGTGCACCCCTACCATGAAATCGTTGCTCGAGTTCAAGCCGTAGAGACTGCCATGTGGGAAGCTAATGGAAACACCGACCTCCTGCACTTTGCGTCTTCGGCTGCATTGGACTTTCTCGTGAGAATCATCCAGAATAGATTCCCCACTGAAAGACGTGTTGGAGGGGCAATCTCTGAAGTTGATACTCCTGGCAGTGTGGACCAGCAGCCATCCTCGGCTGGCAGCGTCCTCTCCCAGCTGCGGGTCCAGCAAAGGCTCGAACTCTTTGACCGCCATCCTGGGTGGCTATATTCCGACACCGCTGATTATGTCTTGGACTTTCTTCGTGAAGCCGATCCGCACACGGTGTACCTCCCGCCCATGCAGTGGACTGAGCAAGGTGTTTCGACCTTCAATGAACTTTGTACTCCTCTGCCCATCTCTCAGAAAGCCATTGGGCTTTTGCTTTGGGACCAGCATTGGATTTTGTGCGAGTTCCAATCCACTGTCTGTGCCAATTGGCTCTTCCTGACTGGCCCTCCTCAGCTTCGCCCTCTTGCTGTGCAGTGTGCGACTGATTTGTGTTGCCATCTGGGCGTCGAACCTGTGCCTCACGTTGTCTGTCGTGACTTTCAAGCTCATCCCAACTTGTGTGGATGGACTTTGCTTTGGCTGTGCTTTGAAAAAGTTGGCCTCCACGTTCATTACCCTGGCCCGCTCCAAGAGGCCTCCTTCCTTCGCAGCCTTCATCACCTTGACGTTCAAAGGGTCTTGACCAACGCCACGACAGCTTGGCAGCAACCCAATATGCATCAAGCTGCCTTCTTCGCCATGCGTCTTTTTCCTTGGCACATTTTGCAAGTCTTGCAAGGCCGATTCCCTGACCAACAAGCTCCAG